TGCTAATTACAGTTGATAAGACGCGCAAGGCGTGTAGGGAGCAGAAGTAGAGCAATGATATCTGTGAGCTCCAGTAACTACCAGATCATACGTATCAGAAGAAACGTGACCCAGTTCCATATCTACCTGTTCTTATCATAAATATCCAAAGAACTCGAGCTTTTGATAAATCCAGCAACACTACGAGCGGGTCCAGTTTTACATAATCCAATATTTGAGGAGAAACGTCTTCGGAACGTCCCCCCCCCCGGCGCCCCTCGGGACCGTTTTGTGTTCACTTAAATTGAATCCGTCAAACTGTTTACTTCTTATCTTGTGTCGGTTTGATCAGATTACTGTGATTCAACAATGTTTGGTATACTGATGTTGCTCTCTATTTGCGAAGTTAAAAAGACGTGCTTACCGTCCGTGCGGTGCTAAGTGGTTACCAGAACATATAGCCGCCATCCACATTGAAACACAAGGTGGAAGCCTCAATTAAGTACATCGTATTTTTATTCAGTAGGTAGATGTTCGAGCTCACGGCCGCGGCCATGGTCACCGGATGCCATCACTAAGAGCTAGCTGCTACTCATCCTGAGTCATGAGGCCGACGTCTCAATTGTACAGTATCAACAGTACAATGGTACCGTACAGCAGAGAGAGGCGGGATGTAGGTACCTACCCGAGCGAGATCACAATTTTATTTTCGTTGCATTGATGAATGAATGAGCTCACGGCCCACCTGATATTAAGTAGTTATCGGAGCCCATAGACATCTACAACGTAAATGCTGCCACCCACCTTGTGATATAAGTTCTAAGGTCTCAGTATAGTTACAACGGCTGCCCATCCTTCAAACCGAAACGTATTACTGCTTCACGATTATATAGACAACAGGGCGGTACCTCTTTAAAAAAAGCGTCTGTCTACAATGATAATATTATTAATTAATATTAATAATGATAATAAAATTATCATTGTAGACAGACGAGTATACGGCCCACCAGATGGTGAGTGATTACTGTCGCTCATGAACGTCAGCAATGGCAGGGACAGAGCCAAGCCGCTGTCTACCGCTGATTTACTTGCTGCAAGCCTCCTTTGAAGAAGGACAAGGAGGTTGAATTCTCGCCTGCTACGAAGGCCGAAGGATTTACCTCCCTTCTGCCAAAGGAAAAAGCGCGTCGCGGGGTCCCGTACTCTCGCGGCCGGGGTCGAGTATCGCCTAATTCATCGTTGTTGACTTTACGACGTTGTTTTGCGGGCGACCACGGGTTTCATTATATTAGTTCAAAATTTCCATGTCAGGAAGTTTTAAATAAATTTCACTATAATTTAGAAAGTATTACAGCCATACATACAATACGTTACAGATGGCCAGTATTTTACAGCGGCAACTTCACAGGAAACGAGACCACTGTTATTACGAATATTAACTTCTCAAACTAGCAATCATATAATAGTAATATAATTATCTAAATAATAAATAGCTGGAAACAAATCTAACAAACTAAATACGAGGTTGTAAAAGTTCTGATATATGTAGTGAATAGTGATTCCGAATTAAACAACAATATCATTTCCTTTTTTGGGAAGACATTTGGGATACTTAAAGGACTTATTTTCTTAAAACAAATGACTCACCTGTGATGCACGTCGCCCCACGGAACAGTCAAGTGTGAACCACCGGTGGGGCACGCCGGCGTGAACGTGTTAAATACGTTGATAAACACCCAGACAAAAAGAGCAAACAAACCTGTTCATCATACAATGTTTGCCTGATGTGGGAATCGAACCCGCGAACCTTGGCGCAACAGTCTGGGGCGCTATTTACCGCGCCACAAAGTCAGTCATAGATGTGATTAGTTAATTCATAAATATCAAGTCCCACGGAATGGCTTTCAAACTGAAGTCCTCGGTAGAGACCTGGCATCTCGAGCATGGGCGTGTGTAAAATTTTTTTAAAAATAAAACATTATTTTTTCTTCTACTAGTATATTGGGTACGTTTACAACATACAAAACATACGATAACAATATTATTATAAGGTAATATATTATGCTCATATTGTATATTTACGTTTCATTTGGGTATAGGTATTTTGTTATATTAATATTGCACCTTTCATTTTCATGTTAAGTCTATTAAGTCTTAGTTAATGGAGGTGTGGCCGTGCGTCTACCTTGACGCGACATGAAGAGGTTCGAAGGCGAGCCCACCGACCGCCGAAACTCACAGATGTCACTTTTTTATTGATCAAACAATTGACAAGTGTTGAGAGTGCAGATGCAACTTAACAAACTGTTGCAGTTGTGAGGCGGCTCCAATTAGTCAATAGTTCGCGAATTACATAAAATATTGTGCGCTCAAATCAAATTAATTCAAATACAAATTTATTGATCAATTCACTAAAAATACTTCGATCTATGTTTTAGTTCGACTTACGACCACTGGATACGGAATGACAAGTGCCCCAGTCTATATGTATATATTTGTGCCCGTTTCATTTGACTAAAGATTACGTATTATTGCCATTATATAATTTGTATTTGCACATCTGTTTAAAGCCACGCTTATCGCACGTAACACGTTTTAGTAACCTGAAGCTATAACAGCCCGAGGTGAACTATACAACGGATCTATGAACAAGAAATGCACAAAGCTGGCGTGAAACATGAACAATATTGATTGCTACCAAATAATAAGTCTACAATCAGTATCTACATTTGAAATGATACTTTTCGTTACCAATTTTAATTATAAAATCTGATTTATTTGAAATAAACATCTGTGCAATGATGTCATTCGATTGGACTGGACCTTAGAGATCACATCTCAGCTCAGTCAGTACGACGTGATTGTTTGTGCGACCGGGAGGGGACGAGGGGCGCGGCGGAGAGGGCGCGGATTGCGTAGGTATGCAGCTTCAAATATCTTTTTACTATACTTTACTACATTTATAATTATTGTTTCTTATTGTTTACCTGCCTTTAAAATTTATGATATAAAAGTTGATTACACATATCTGTAAATTTACACTTTTATTTTCCCCTTTTGGATTTGAATGCTGATCTTGGGGTAATTTGGTGCTAAGATTACAATTATGTGTTTGGATTTTTCCTATCACACTCGGTTTGTTTGAAAAATCCTTTGGTATGAATTCGAAAAAAAGAAGTTTATGTAAATTGTGAATGGTGATAAAAACATCGATATATCGTTCATGAAGATCGTGGTTTTAATCGATGTTTCACTTTTGAAAACATCGATAACCTAACATCGATGTTTTTATGAGCAATGTTGCATCCCTAGGGGTGCGGCGGTGCGGGGATGCGGCGGAGGGAGGCGCGAAAGGTCACGTGTGCGTTAAACGCCTGTCCAATTGGTTATTAGTGCAGACAGGTAATGGCCTGTCCACAGTGAGTCCTATAGTTTGCTCACGCGAACTTCAAGTCGTGATATAATACAATGAAGATCAAAGCTTTAATCCTTTAAATTTCGCATAATTTACTAATATTCTACTACATTAGCGTTTTTGTACAAGCAACTTCATAGCCTAATACAATAGCTATTAGATAAGTAGAAAAGTAGATAAGTCTTAAAAGCTTTAAAAATAAACGAAAATATTAAGTTAAATAGTTGATGACAAGTCTGAACGAATCTATGACTGCGCGGGCTGAAGGCGGCGAGGGGAGCACGCGGCCGGCGCGCAATGGAACGCGACATGCAGCCACCGACCCCTCGTGAGGCAGCTCGGTGCAGGTACAATGAGAATTCATGAAATATTTATTTATGAGAGGACCAGTACTGTTTTTCAATAGTGTGTTATTAGTTCGGTTGTGAAGCAAGAAGCAAGGGAACTCTGCTGGGTGATTGGTGAATGTCGCTGGAAACTCATGCTTATTTACTAAGTCTTTGGTTACAAATCGTTACAGTTACACAAACAAAACGACTTTATATTAACAAAAAATAACAATATTTTAGTCCTCAGGCTCGGCTCGCAGCGCCCAGGAGGCGGCCCCCGGACTACACTTAACTATTTCAATTCCGTTCTGCTCACTGCCGGACCCGCTCAGGGACATATCCCATTAATATTAAATACAATAAATATTTAGCGCAACAGAGCAGGGGTCGGTCTGGACTCGGCGTGTTGGGGCCCGGATCCACTTACAATATTTAGCGGGTATGGACACTGTTACCATTTTGTCTACACGTTCAGGTTGCGGTATGAACCTTCAGCCAGCAGCAGGCGCGGCGGTCCCCTACACTTGTGCTCTATAAAATAATCTAAAAATAAATGCATCATTGAATATACGTGTGGGGCACGCGGGCGCCGCTCCACAGGATGGCATTGTTACTTAGTGTTCTTCTCGTATTAGATTATTTCAAAGCAAAATATACAGTTAGCTTATCAAAAAATGTCGATGCGAATGTGATGGGAGTGTCGGCGCCACCGCACACTGAAACCAGAAATAATATGTTGTTTTAGCTTGTTAGTTAATAAGTTAAAAATAATACTTGTTGTTGCACGAGAACACAGTGTAGAACGAGTCCACGGACCACAGCACAAAACACACACATGTTGTGCGACGGACGGAGACAGCGCGCTCGATTCCGATACTTGTCCGTGAACTAGACCTCAAGCTTCCACATTCAATAGCTCCAAGAGCGACCTGCGCTATGGGTGCTGGACGTTTTCATAACTGGTCGTAAGAACTCATGTGAGTCCGCACGGGTAGGTATCACCACCGCGCCTATTTCTACCGCGAAGCAGTAATGCGTTTCGGTTTGAAGGGTGGAGCCGCCGTTATAACTATACTTGAGACCTCAGAGCTTATATCTCAAGGTAAGTGACACATTTACGTAATAAATGTCTATGGGCTCCAGTAACCACTTAACACCAGGTGGGCTGTGAGCTCGTCCACCCATCTGGGCAATTAGAAAAAAAACCTCCAGAGGTACACACGGGATGAGTGATGTAATACGGCGCAGCACGCGGTCGCGTCATACGTACCAGCAGAGGTCGGTCTGTTCAGAGGAGGCAGCACTTCCCGAACTTGTGTCTGCGGCGTTGCTTGTCCTCCTGCTGCGGGTGGTTGCGGATGAGCCGGACCAGCTCGTGGAAGGCGGCGTCGATGTTGAGCGGCGGCTCCTTGGCGCTGGTCTCCAGGTAGGGGGCGTGCAGCGCGCGGGCGGCCAGGCGCGCGGCGGCCGGCGGCACCACGCGCGCGTGCACCAGGTCCACCTTGTTGCCCACCACCACCATCGGGTACGAGTCTNGTTGCTTGTCCTCCTGCTGCGGGTGGTTGCGGATGAGCCGGACCAGCTCGTGGAAGGCGGCGTCGATGTTGAGCGGCGGCTCCTTGGCGCTGGTCTCCAGGTAGGGGGCGTGCAGCGCGCGGGCGGCCAGGCGCGCGGCGGCCGGCGGCACCACGCGCGCGTGCACCAGGTCCACCTTGTTGCCCACCACCACCATCGGGTACGAGTCTCTGACAACCACACGGGACAACGTACTCATATAGCAGCCTCTGCAATACTCGCTACACACGTCTAGCACAACAGATCCGTGCGGCTTGCAGAACGCATGCGCACAGCGAACGTCGAGGTTGCTCCAACATTGATACAATTTTTTTTTATTGCTATGTGTGGTGCACGACCTCACGTCCCACCTAATCACCGGAGCCCATAAATATCAACCACGTTAAGGCCCGCGGGATTCGAGTACAGGCTGAGCCACAACGCTCGATACGAATGTACCGGGCCCAGTATCCGTTAGACCACAATCTTCACTTCAAAACTTATTTGTTCACATAGTTCACAATAACTACGATGACAAAATGATTACGATGATGAAGATTATGATGTTGCTAACATGAACCCCTAGAACCTAGAACCTTAGCCGTGCTTCGCAGAATCTACCACCGGATCGGAAACGCGACCCACTGAGAAGATCCGGCGAGAAACTCAGTGGGCTGCATTATGCTAAAGCTACCATGTAATCTTTAAGGAGAGAACAGCCCCCACGATTATTGTAAGTCAATTTTTTTTTTACGGACAGTTGCTAGGGATATCAGTGCTTTAAAGTGATAATCCTGGTATGTGCTTTCTCAATGAACAACTTGTTACATAACCTTGATCTACATCCCAAATAACAATAACAAATACTTAATAAAATAAGTTGATACCTGTCCTTAACCCTGAGGATCTGGGTGTGGAAGTGACGAATGTTCTCGAAGCTCTGCTTGTCCGTCACTGAGAACACGATGAGGAAGCCGTCGCCCTTCCGCATGTACTGCTCGCGCATCGCACTGAACTCTTCCTGTCCAGCTGTATCCAGTACTGCAATCAACGAAATATATTTTATTTCGGAACAAAAATAAGATTCCCTGAAGACCAATAAAATTATATAGAACTTACAAAACATCTAGACGTATAAACAACTAAGAAAACGTCTTTTTATTCCTAGACTTGGTATAAAAAAAGGGAAGATATTCGAAGTCCAGCCTCAACTTCAACTTGTCGCCCCTTTACGGCCTGGCCACGGGGATCGGCGGTGCGAACAGCGAAGCGGTGGGCGAGGCGACCATTCGCGCAGCACCGTTTGCAGGCCACGGGTACTCACGTTCGCCGCCGCGACTAGTAAGGAAGTCCGACAGCGAAATGTCTATATCGAAATTATCTCGATATTGCTTACAAATTAATAGTTTTTTGGTTCAGGACCTATTATTTGGAAAAGATTGTGAAGTACATGATTTGAATAAGAATCGGAGTATACCTATAGATGGAGAATTCCACAAGAAGTACGAGAAATACTTTGGGTGGCTAGACTTCCAAATAGCTGGTCTAGCTAGTATTTCAGCTATTTTATTTTTTTATTGCTTAGATGGGTGGACGAGCTCACAGCCCACCTTGTGTTAAGTGGTTACTGGAGCCCATAGACATCCACAACGTAAATGCGCCACCCACCTTGAGATATAAGTTCTAAGGTCTCAAGTATAGTTATAATGGCTGCCTCACCCTTCAAACCGAAACGCATTACTACTTCACGGCAGAAATAGGCAGGGTGGTAGTACCCACCCGTGTAGACTCACAAGAGGTCCTACCACCAGTAATTACGCAAATTATTATTTTGAAGATTTCATTTTTATCACACGATGTTATTCCTTCACCGTGGAAATCAATCGTGAACGTTGAGTGTTGTTGAGTACGTATTTCATTACAAAAATTGGTACCCGCCTGATATTCGAACACCGGTGCATCGCTCAACACGATTGCACCGGACGTCCGTTAGGCCACGACGACTTTAAAAATATAAAATAAAAAATAAATAAAAAATATAAAAATTTCGGCGTTAATTTTTCGCGGCGAAAACAACTAAACTCATTTAATCACTGCACTATTCGCCGCGACTACCGCTCGACTCCGTGGCTCGCGCCGTCCGTATTCATGCATTTGTTTTGCTCGCCCGCCGCATCGCGCGATTCGCTCGGTACATTTCGCCGGTCGCTTCGCCGGTCGCCGGTGCGCGTGGCTTGTTAGGTACATTTCTATGCGCTTGTTTTAGTCGCTAGACGCTTCGCCGTTCGCACCGCGCGAATATTCGCATCGGCGAATGTCCCGTGGCCAGGCTGTTACGGACGCGATCTTCGAATCGCCTTATGTCTATACTGGTATTCACAGGTTGTAGGTAGATATTTTGATCTAGGAGTACATAATATGTACTAAATTAGTTACTTACCATCAAGAATGCACCACTGACCATCCACTTCTGTATGCTGTATGTAAGAGTCCTCAATAGTAGGATCATAATCTGTCACAAACAACTTCTGGAAGAACTGGATGGTGATCGCACTCTTACCTACTCCACCATCACCTACTACCACCAGTTTCACCTGCAACATCAATACAAAGACCGACTTAGTTACGTGGCAAATCAAAGTCTTCATTGCCCAAAGAATAATATATCAGAAAGCAATTATAACAAGGATACAGGTAAGAAAATAGTTTAATTTATTGAGACAAAGAAGTGTGATGAAGTTAAAAATTTTATATTAAATATTTTCTAACAACTCTGGGTTTTAACAGTCATAGTATTAATATAATTATCGAAAAGTTTGTAGGATATTAATATGTAATTTATATTAGAAAACAGGTACTTAAAAGTGCTAGTGCCTCTAATTCATTATTAATTAATATTAACGCAATTCTAATTAGTAATTATTTAATTTTTATTAATAATAAAATTTCAATACTTTTATTATTTGAGTTTGAGAAAAAAACAATCTATAGGCCAAAAAGAGTTCCAAAACCACTTTTTACAAGTAATTTTTATATAATTATTTTTCATTTTCATTTTATAATCAGGAAGGCCTACTAATATTTTCAAGTGCATAACTTGTTACAATTGGGGCTTATCCTAAAACTCTCCTTGTGTAAATCCTCTTGCAGGATTACATATCATAGGTAAAACTTTTAATGCTGCGTCTCTCTGTTTCTACTTGTATTGTTTATGCTCTCTGTTAATCATTTATAAAAAAATATTAATTGTATAAAATCAAACATACATTGTCACAATCTTTGAATAAAGACATTCTTCACGCTTACATTTAATAATTAGTTATGTTGAAAATATTATTACACCATTATCACCTTCAGTGATATTTATTAAAGTTTCGGCCAAAAATTTAATTCTGATGTAGTCATGATTTACAATGTGATGAGATGTCCTTGCTGCATAATTTATATTAATTTGCACCCCTTTATGCAATGAACTTTTTTATTAAATAAAAATTTTATACTATTGCAATTAAAACTACCATAACTGAGAAAGGCACTGTTTAATGTTACAACATATCATGTTCAAATACTTCTAGTTTTGATTTACATCTCTTTAAAAAAACTAGATTCTGGAGGTTGCATCTAATCCTATATTAGCTGATTGCTAACAGCTAATCAAAGTTTTAATATCTTGTGAGACAGGTTAATTATCTTCCATAGCCATTTATGATTGAAAACCTTTTTATGACAATAACAAGGTAAATTTTTACAAAGGTACATTACTCTTTCACGTTTTTCTGTAACACCTACTTATACTTCAACTATCCAAAATAATAAAATAAGCAAGCATTGAAAATCATATTTTATGTGCATTACTAATATCTATGACTGTTGAAAGTCTCTAAATATACTTTAATTATAGTGTATTTAAAAGTAGGTACTGAACATATTAAAGTATCAATTGTCAAATGTTGTTATTGAGATCATAGGAAGTGAGAATCCTTCTAGGCTTACTTGTCTAGCACACCTTTTTTAACATTTAGTAGAACATAGTCTTATAACAATCTTGTTCTGTAATGTTTTTAGCAGATATTTTCTTCTTTATTTCATACTTAATAGATATTATTGCCAATATATTTCTATTTATAGTTCTGTTCTGTTAATATTATTATGTTTAATAACATTAAATTCAAAATAATCCAAACCCAGGCACATAAAAAAAGATAAGCAGACAGATAGTCTAGACAAACATTTAGTCCTATTTCCTTCAATCTGAGGCTAATAATATTTAAACATTTTCTCTTTTTTGTTTGGGTACATTATTTAATGACTCACGGTAGGAAGATTCTCGTTGGGTGGCCCCGGCCGAGTCATTTTTCAAGCCAGAATTCGTCCCTCCACACCACTAATAACGACTTAGTCTCCCCCACACGCATTAGCCTCAATATAACCTGAAATCACTGCCTCAATGACTATTGACTACACAAGATTAATTAATCTGTTGTCTGCGAATTCTACTATGTTCACACATCTGAATGTTGGCAGTCATTTTCTAACACCCATACATTCCAATCCGTCTTCAATTTGTCTATTAGATAAAACAATACCTTTTGATGGCATGGGTCTTATTAATGTGTTTCAATTAATAGAAACACAAAATTAAATAAGGTGCATCATAAAAGCAGTATGCTCTTCTAATCATTTAGTTTAGCTTTGTTTATTTGATCAAAATTTCCGCGACATTAAGTAGATAGGAACCTAGTTCAAGTTGATTTCAAACATTTGACAATTGACATTTTGGGCAGTGAGTGAAATGTGTCAATGACAAAAGTAGAACAGTGTTGTGCCGATATGGAGGTAATAGAACTAAAGGATATAACTGATGGAGCAATAACAGGCGATACCGGTAAGTTTTATGGTCTTTGCTTGGAACTGAGACAGAACATTTAGGGCTTTGCGTTTGTAAAATCTCGAAACCATGACGCACATACTCTGTTAGTGCAATGATCCTAAAAAAAAAGACTTGAACGTTTTGGCGACACCGCTAGGAGCGAAGTCCCGTGAATTGTTTTAGTTTATTAGTTTGGTATTATTTCAAAATTAAATATATAATAATAATAGCTTATTGACCGCTTAGTATATGTGAAAGTAAAAGTATAATATAAGTTAAAGTATAAGAATGGGAAAATGAAATAAAATCTCTGGATGAAACCTATCTTGTTCATCCAAGAATATCTCTAAAGTCTTACTGGCTATACGTCTTTTACTGAAACATTTTATATCTTCGATGTCTTATCATTCCATTCAATTTCATTCATCCCCATCGAAACAACAACTTCATGTCATTCCGCTCCATTTCATTATTCATGCCGCAAAGCATACGAATGTATACCTTTTTTTTCCTACCTAAGCTGAGAGCCTTGAGAGGCTATATCAGCGTAGCCTTAACTAGTAGGTGACCTCACGGGGCTCAAAGCGGACGACGTTGCTAACACGAACCCTAGTAAGAGCCGTGCTTCGCAAAATTAAAATTCAAAATTCAAAATCATTTATTTCAACTTAGATGTCAGTATGACACACTTGTTGAATGTCAAAATACAAATAACAATGTTAACTCTACCACCGGTTCCAAAAAAAAGCCACAGTCCTGAGAAGAACCGGCGAAACAAACTCAGCGGGCTTTTTTTTTTATTTTTTCTCAAATATTTTCTTTTTTTTTAAATAAATAGAAATATTCACAATAAAAGAAAAAACAAGTCAAAAAAATACAATAAAAATAATAATAATAATAATGAAAAATGAAAAGGCCAGGAGCGAGCGCCTCATTCCCACGTAGTGCCATCTAGTAAATAATCCTTAACTTTATAATACGCCTTGTTGCACAAACGTTCCTTAACAGTTTTCTTAAATCTATGAACAGGTTCTACCATCGGATCGGAAACGCGACCCACTGAGAAGATCCGACGAGAAACTCAGTGGGCTGTGTCTGAGGGTTAATTTAGTCGTCGAGCCCTTCGTCGCAAGCGACGGGTTCGATTAGGTGCTCGTACTATGTATATGGTGGGAGTGAAAGGGTGGCGAACCTTACCCGCGCGAGCTCACAAGGTGCCCTACCACCAGTAGTTACGTAAATTATAATTTTTGTAGGTTTGACTTTTATTACACAATCCTCCTTCATCCTGGAAGTCATTTGGAGAATTTGTTAAGATATTTCAGTAGAAAAAATGGTATGTGCGGGATTCAAACCCCGACACAGTAGCATCGCTCAATACGGATGCACCCGGCGGCTTATTCATTATGCCAAGATCATTTTACATGCATCAGGTACCATGCAACATAAGTGCCACCAAAAATGTATTGTATATTACTAATCCTCCATCTATTAGGTTTCAAAATTGAAAATCCACACACTGCTGGAACTTCAGAGTGATTCCTGACTGATAGACGTAAGAGAACAATTTTTATTATTGAAGAAATGTAATATAAAACCTTTTACCCCACAACATTTTTAAATATTCTATATGTGCTGCTCACCAAATTTTTATATTGACTGCAAGTGCCTGCAAGCCTTTTTTATATTACTTAAGGCTTCAAATTATAGTCATTTTCACAACAGTCAAATAAATTATTTAGACCTTAACCGTTTGAGCGCGTACCGTCGATAGATCGACTCTGTATTAATGCGTATAAAGTGCGGAAAGTGTGGGATCTGAAAACCGACTATTGCGCCGTTTGATTATAGATATTAGGTATCGACCTGTACGGACGTTTCTTGACGTGCGCACATATAACGTTTTTAACAAGTTAATAATATTTCTAAATAACCATTTAAAATTATTTTGCAGTGATTTAGTATTTAGAATTTTTTTTTTTTTCAAAAATCCTGTAATATTTCTGCATAATATGTGAAAATAATCTAATAATATTCTACTTAATACAACACTACGTAGGTAATGTATCATCATTTTAACAAAGATGTTGTAAGTTATTAACTCCATGGTTGTAAGTTTTAGGTAAATAAACACTTAATGTGATATCCCAAGCGAAAGTAGGTATAATTCAAGTATAAATAAAAAACTGAATTTTTTTATAATTGAAAGATTACTGGTGGCCCGGAGGCCTTTCCAGCTTCACCAGGACAGGTGGGCGAGCAAAGGCTCAGCCAGGAGGGGTGGGATTTGCTAACAACTGCCCGAGCGCCTCCGAAGGAGACTTAACAACTCAAGAGCAATTGCTTCGCGAATGAATCTACTACCGGATCGAAATCGCAACCCGCTGAGAAGATCCGGCGAGAAACTCAGCGGGTTAGAGGGGTGCATGGGTTAGGGAAAAACGGAGTTAAGTACGATATTTAAGTAGAGGTGTTCTTTGTATATTTTATCAGACTAACAGCTACAAAGACACATTAGAAAATAGCCTATTCATGATTTGCTTATGTACAGGAAAACGTAAGCGTGATAACAGCAAATGTAGGTGTAATATTATTTAACATAACTAAATCATATTTTAAAAAAATATTTCCACAATACAAAAAGAAATGTTTGTTGGCACCAATGAACTTTAAAGTAACCGTATCACAGTTGATAGATAACCTTCTAGAACTAAACGCGAATTAAAACTGAAACAAATCTGAGTTCCTCATTCGTTGTTCGATTCACAGTTCATTGAACAACAAAGTGTTCAGTGACCAGAATTTTGCAATCAATCAATCGTGACATGAATTCACCATGACCGATGTGTCCATAGGTCCAGGTGTATAGACATATGGACCAACCACGGGTCAAATTATTTGTCGTAGCCAATAATTACAGCGAATACAGTGGCGCTTAGTTTTTTTAATGGGAAAACTTACATTCTTGCTTTGGTCTGTTAAGTTGCTCCTAGAGTCGATTGATATCACATCGTTAAAATATGCGGCAGAAATATATAGGAAAGTTAGCTAGTTAAACTTATAAATAATCATGTGAAGACAAAAATCAATAACCAGTTGACAAATAAAACGTAGAGGTAGGTAATGCTTGATCAATATTCAATTATTTGCGAGCCACGTGATTCGGGATCGCTATGAAAAATCAAACATGTGACAATACTGTTAAGAGCACAACGGTTCGGTAGCGCCGAAAGCATCAAACGCGGCCCCAAATTCCAAATCGCTAAACGCTATATCAAATTCATCCAGTTTAAGTGTTACCAATTGAGTAATTCGGAAAATTTCCGTTATATTAGAATGAAAATTGCTAGCGTCCTCCAACTAGAAAGCTGTAACATCGATATTCGGAAGGAAGTGCAAAGGAAAAGCCGAAAACCAACTCACAAATATACATTGAGAAAATACATGTCCGGCAGTGGACAACTGTGAACTAACGACGATGATGAACAAGAAAGATTTAAATTTACTAATTGTAGATTCAAAAGAGCTGGCACAATGACACGCACTCACGAACTGCGTGATCTGGACGTGGTGCAGGAATTTGTGTACCTGGGGTCATTAATATCCAGTGACGATGATTGTGACAGGGAGATGGTCAGGAGGGCCCAGATGTCAAAATCAGCCTCAGTAATGAGGAAGCGACAAAGAAGAAGATTCAAAAATACACTCTTGTTTCATTTGTTCAAATTTCAAACATAGCAATGATAAGTTGTACCGGTTAATGATATAAATAAAATGTATGCCGTTGTTAACTGAAATTGAGTTAAATCATAATTAGTAAAGTTATTAATGTCATAAAACTAGCCGACATTTTTCCGGAAAACATCCTTCTGGAGCTTGGAAACAGGAACATTGGCAACATTGCGTCAGTGCGTGGCGCAATTTGGAAGGGGATACACGCGCGGCGCTTTTAGCGCTTCCCGGTTCAACGCACTCATTTGTAAAAACAAAAGATTCTTTATGGATTAAAAACGCACAATTGTATACATAACATAAATATTAATATTTATGGGTGAAATTGTGTAGTGAAATGACTGTGGGGTTGTAAAAAGGATATTTCATGATCGGTAAGTGGCTAACCCTTGGCAAATTTTCCATAAAGGTTTTGGGAAACGTTTAAGGGAAGATTTCTTACCAAAATATTCAAGTAAAAATTCGATTACAATACAATACTTTTAATACGCTAGCTGTTTTTTTAAGACTTTTATATTGACTTAAACTTGCATTTTAATTTAATCCATATTGTAACTCAATCCTGGCAGATCAAAACAATATTTACACACAGCTGTGTACGAGTATTTCCTTTCTGTGTTCCTAATATTTCTTAAAATCTAATTACAAAATTTTTCTTCTTCTTGAAGCTAATCTTCATTGCTATTATTTTTTTGCAATAATCTTCTGAGTATAGCAAATGAATTTGCTAAATATTAAAAGTGAATTAAGGAAGTGTGACTACTGCGGAAGGACAAGTGCCCAGTCCCAGTCCGGCTCGGAATTTCGTATATTTTCTGATTGATCGGCAGTCCAGTATTATCATTCAAGAGCTTTGATTAAGGCACCCGATATTCATACTAGCCCAGCGATCGAGTTGCAGGGAAAGGAGTCCAGAGAAAGGTTCGGGGCATACGGCCCTTGCACTCAAAAGGCCTACATGTGATTCAGTGCGCACCTTGTTGTTCCATTGCACACTGAGTTTCTCGCCGAATCTTCTCAGTGGGTCGCGATTGTGATCCGGTGGTTGATTTTGCGAAGCATTGCCCTTGCTAGGGCCAGTGTTAGCAAATTCTCTCAGGTTGAGCCCGTGAGCTCACCTACCCGTCTGGGCGTAGCTGAAATAGCCTCTTAGGCTACCAGCGAATAGGTAGGAAAAAAAAAAGTTGTTCCAAATTGATACAATATAAAATACCATATTGCACTTGAGCACATCAAAATAATGACAATGTGTACAAAATGTAAGTGAGAATAATTAAACTTAT